TATTGAGAGAAAGGTCAATTTTGTCTTTAGATCAGAGTCCTCACTGCTCATGAGCATAAGAATAAGGCATCTTGTTTTCCTTTGATTATGGAAATCAACTGAACTAATAGGATTCAGTGAAATACTTCTACTTAAAATGTTTTAAAACTCCACCCATTTTAATGACCTTTTCACTGTACAGTAAAGCATATATTTTTACTTTTAGCATCTGGTGAAAATGAGGAGCAACAGGCAAGGGTGGATAGTGTCTTTGCCGTACTTCCAGGGATATGCACGCGAGGAGAGGCACTTTGGATGCCCTCCAGGTTGTGCTCAGAGGAACAGTTCACATTTCCAGAATTCCTTTGGTCTGCCAGGGAATTGGGATAAGAGAAAATGACAACTTGGAAATAGAATGCACAATGCCCACCCCACCCACCCATACCCTAACCCTGTTGCTGTGAGTAAATCATCCAAGAAGACCGAATGATCTGACCTCTTGGGATTGCTCATCATTTTCATGTTTTAGGAAAACTTTCCATTTCCATTTTTCAAGTCCTCTAACAACCAAGAAACTCTTTACCCTGAGGTCACCAAAATATCAACTAGGTATATCATTTGGAATTCCTGGCTCTCAAAAACACCGCCCCCTCTCCCTCCCCCACCAAAAACCCCACAAACCCTGTATTCTGTTTCTTTCACAGTTTCATGTATCAATAGAAAGTAATAAAAAATAAAAACCTTTGTATGGGATGCTTACTCCTGACATTAGTCACGTATGCAGGTTATGCCAGCACATTATATCTTGCTTAAAATAAAATGGATAGAAAAAGCCCAAATCCTCACTTTCTTCCACAGGTAGGTATTAGAGTTTCTCAATTATCCTAAACAAAAATGTGATGTGAGTAAATTTAATAGCTTTGTAAAAAGCAATGCCTGTTTTTTACTCAAGACCTAGGTTCAGATCTGAGCACTTGAATTTCTTACCTGTGATACATTTTCTAACTTTTGTGCCAATAGGTTTTATTATGTAAAATTGGTTTCAGATCACTGCCCTGCCTACCACATAGGGGTGTTGTGGGATCAAATGTGATCATTTATGTGAAATTGTAAAATATAAAAGTACTGAGCCTGAAGCTTTTGAGAGATGGGCCTAGCAGGCCTTGAGTTTTAAGCAAGGCAATTACCATCCACTGACCTAGAGTGTAGTGGAAACAAACTTGAGATCTTGTACACACACATAAGCCTGAATTTTTAACCTTACACTAGACATGGCTGGCTGACCTGTTTAGTCATGAGTTACTTATCAAGGTTCTATGGGGTTCTCACTAACACCCCTCCCCTGAGGAGAAGGAGAGAGGCAAAAAGGTACTCGCTTTGATGATTGTTAGAAGGTCGTGTAAAATAGATGGTCTATAGAATCACTAACTGCTCATCTAAACCTTTCCTGCTTTTTAAAATTTCTTTTACCACTCACATTTTTTAGGTGTAGAGAGTATAGAAATGCTTACAAACCATAAAGGTCTCCATAAAAAGTATTAGCAATCATTATTAATAATTGTTGAAATAATAAATGAGTAAAACAGGGACCAAAATACAGCCTCCTCTCCTAGAAAAAAACATAGGCAAAAATCTCTTGGACATAAACATGAGTGACTTCTTCATGAACATATCTCCCCAGGCAAGGGAAACAAAAGCAAAAATGAACAAGTGGGACTATATCAAGCTGAAAAGCTTCTGTATAGCAAAGGACACCATCAATAGAACAAAAAGGTACCCTCCAGTATGGGAGAAT